CTTACTGTATTGACTATTAAATTTATATTATCAAGTAGGTAGCTTAATTTACGATAATAAATACCACTTTTGAATTGAAATACATCTAACATTTCTACATAATCTCTTTAAAAATGATTATATACATGCTACATATTGATAAAGGCACCAATAAGGAGAAACTGTAAATATTATATATTTCATCTTTTACAAAACTTCTCATGTTATTTATAAACAGCTTAATGATACAGAAGAAAAATTAAAATTACCAAATAAAGTTTCTCCCCAGATTCACAACAAAAAGTTATTAAAGTAAAATAACTTTAGGAAGATATTGCAGTGCATGTGCATAGTATATCTGAAAACATTGAATTTGGAAAGAAGCATCACTGCTAGAAATGAGTTATGTTGTCACAGCAGAGATTTATACACATAGGGGTAAATTGACAGGAATTTCAGGGCTGTAGAAACATCAATCTCATTTTGTCCCTCTGGTAACAGTTCTATGTGGGAAAAGAAATGAGTGTAAAATGAAGTTTATCTTTTACAATCTGCGATAAATGATGTCAATAACATCTTCTTCGCATAAACATTTATCTTCCTAAATATGTACTTCAAGAGCACTATCACTGTACTGCAATTATTAAAGCAGTTGTCAGAGATCTCTTTTCCAAATTCATCCACAAAAATTATCATTCCACACAATATTCACCACTTTTCCCCTCACTCATGTTATGTGTTATATTCACAACCATCAACAGAGAGAGAGAGTCATTATTTTTGAGATCCTATTTCAGATGAGTTTAAATTCCATCAGGCTGCACTAATTTTTTTTGAACCCTAAGTCTGAAGAGTTATGCTAATTTTTATAACCAAAAATATACAAAATAAAACTAGAGAAGCTTTCTATAATGAGAAATGTCAAACAACAGTCATAAAAAAAATTCTTTTTTTTTTTCCTTTTTGTCTTTTTTCGTGACCGATAACAGGATCGCAACCCTCAGTGTTGCGCCCGTACTGCGACCGGCAACGGGATCGCAACCCTCGGTGTCGCGCCCGCACCACGCTCAACCAGTGAGCAGACCGGTCTGTATATGGGATCCGAACCCTCGGCGGGAGCGCCGCCACGCTCCCAAGCGCCGCACTCTACTGAGTGCGCCACCAGGCCGGCCCATAAAAAAAAATTCTACAAAGTCCTCCTATACGTAGTTAACTAACCCAAAGATCAGACATTTATCTAAACTCTGTAACAAGTCTTGAAGGGAGTGCAATAAATACAACAAATGGCTGCATGTTAGAATCACTTTGTGATGTTAGAAAAAAATTATAGACACTGGGCCCTCGCCCCAAGGGTCTGATTCAATTCATATTGTAATGGAGTATGTTTATTAGCTTTTTTATTCCCCAAAGCTCCTCAGATGACTTGAATGTGCAGCCAGGGCTGAAAACCACTGATCATACTGTATATAGTTAATCCTGATCAATTTATAAGAGTAAGCAACTGCCACTCAAAATATACAACATTCAGAAAATATTGTTTGAAATGCAGAACATTGCTGCATATTAGAAAACATTTGGATCTAGTACTCCAGGTTAGAAAAAAACCTTCACTTGTTTTTTTGGTTACAAGGAAAAGAGCTTCATCTACAGTACTTCTTAAGTTGGAAGGGTGGAGGCAAGGGGACAGCAAAGAGAAAGCCTTAAGACATCAGCTCAAGCAAAACAGTGAAGACTACATATGGAATAATGTTGAGGAAATATGAAATAAGTTGTCACATAGCCTCAATTACTTATGGATCTTTTGAAGACAGTTTAGGAAATGGTTAATTTGACTAATGAGTTTATGTAACCCTCAAGAAAAAGTATATCTCCAACCTCTGGTCAGTCTCTAAAATGAAGTTTCAAGCTCCCCTAATAAAAGAACATGCTCCCTAAAGTTCCATGCCAGGAAAAAAAAAAAAATTCTGGTTACATTTTAAGCATCTTAAACTTTCTAATTCTAGAGTCAGACAGCCTCCAGACACCAGGCCTGCTGTCTAGCCTCACATCCCTATCAAATAAGAATTACAAGATGCTTTGGTAATAAACAGGCTGCTCAAGATGTGAAAGGTCTGTCTTTAGGCCACAAGATTCCAAAAATCACAAAATGGACGGCTTTACAATTGAGCAATCTATCTGTATTATTATAACTCTTCCCTAGCATAAACAAGATTGCATTACTAAGCTTAACTAACATTGTTGAACAGATAACAAGCATGTCTAAAGACACTGTAAATGTTTAATACTTCACACATCTCAAAACCTCAAAACTTAGCAGCTCAAAAGAAAAAACCATCACTGAAGTAAATCAAACAGAAAATTCTACTATGACATATTGTGAGGCAAAAGAATGTGAGAGAATTTTTAAAATGTCTTTCGTAAAGCCCAAAACTGAGATCACCATAAAGCACTTAAAAGTTGTTTGATTTAGATGGTAGTGTGGTTTTTTTAAATATTATACTTAGAATTATCTAAATTTTTCCCACTAACGTTAAGTATCTGATACCAGGCCCCACTCCCTGCTGTTTTGTGAAGTTTGAGAAGCAGCAAATGAAATTTCCTAGAGCAGCTCCCCAAATGGGCTCTTCCCTGCAGAGTCCAGCAAATAATGTTTCTAGGGTATCCTTTAGCCTACTGAGCAACTTGAGAAACATCATTCAAGGTATTTGTATGAAACACAATTAAAGATATCCTTTTATTTAAAGGACTCTGAGATTTGCTTCAAGCTTAGAAAAACATCAAATTTATAAAAACTTTTTTCTTGTTAGAATTGAATCAGTAAATTAGCTCTTCGGAAGAGCCTGGGTGGAACTTTCATAAATTTTTTTCTATTCTTTACTCAAATTATCACTATAAATGCTCATGAATTCTGCTATTTGATTTCTTGTATATATTAGATGAACTGAAATTACATTTACTGTTGATGTTGGGATTCTCGTTTGCTCACAAGGGTAATTAAATCATATTTTCAGTTATTTAGCAATCATGTAATAAGCACCTACTGTGTTCCTTGTGAATGGCTTTCTTGGAATCTAAATATGTGAGCCTGTAATACATGAGCCTATTTAATGGTGATTAACACAAGAGAATAGAAATTAAGACGGAGAGAACAAAAAACTACCGTCTTCTCCAAGTCCAGGTTTTCTAATTTACTTTAGTTGCTTCGTTTTATATTTTTTCCAAAAGGCTGTGATTTGCCTTGATCCTAAATAACTCAGTTTTATTTCCTGTGTTAGGACATGATCAGGAATTGCAATTTTTTTAAAATAGGAAATGTTCACATAGTCTGTATGTCAAGGCTGTTTGTCACTCACAATGAGTTACAAGAATTATACAGTGAGAATGCTGAGATCCAATCCCAGAACTGAAGCACTTAGAATAGAGGGTAAAGAACTGCAAACACTGAAAAGCAGGTTTCCCAAGAGTTGCCAGAATAGGTCAATTGGTTCAATATATTTGATTTAAATTTTGAATGAATCAAATTTATAATACATATCATTTCCCAGACTGAAACAAAGTAACATGTATTATCTAAACTGCTTTGTAGGTCAATCATTTCAGACACTTAAACATTACAAATTTTTTATAATCAATGCAAACAGTTCATGCTCACAATTCTAAAATTCAGGTCTAAGATGTAACCTATATAAAAATACATAAAAATACTCTGCCTTATTTTTATATACTAAAACAAAAAGTTCCAAATGAAATATAATGCAATAAAATATTCCAATATTCAATCTTTTGGCGATGAAAGCATTCTAAGATAGTGTATTAGAGACGCAAGACTGAAAAATAAATAAAATAATGCAAAAGACTATTTTAACATTTTAAAAAGTAGAAATGTGTTAGCAGACATTAAAACCATGGAAAGTAGTAATCCCACTGCCTATAAGTGAAACAACTCATTAGTTAGAGCTTATTTACATAGTTTAGTGACTTCCCAGTCTTCATAGGGAACTGGAGTTTTGTTAATTATAAATATTATGATCTAAAATAACGCTTTTGTGGGTAAGAAGGACATATTTCATTATTTTTCTTTCAAAAGGAACACCTGTTTGTTAAAGAAAATTTTTAGCAAATTTGTGAAGTGTGTTCTCTATTTCTTACATTATCACTGAAGAAAGGCATTTATGGTCAGTCAATGATGCGCAAGAAATACCTCAGTTTTCATTATATTTTTCTGCTTAATTTTTTAAATGTCCATTTTATTATCAGACATAAAAGTATTTCACAAATTAAACTAGTTTGAATTTTTCTACCAGTCACATATAAATATCCATTCTCATTTTAAGCAAAAGTCAATATAGTGAATATATTCTGACTTGTACTTTAAGTAGTAAATCTAATCTAATCATAATATAGTTACCATTGTTACAATTAAAATTCATGAAACATTTAGTCAACTCTAATACAACTTTAGGGCGTATACCAAGCTGTGTATTTGAAATGAACTTTGATAAGAATTAAACTTGCTGTTGAAGCTTAGTTCCTAAGTGGGTATCTTCACCAAACTTCTTTCGTTATAGGTTGGAAGATGCTAATAATTTACTGTTTTCTTACAATATTTAATACACAGAAGTGGCTAAAGTGATTCCTATAATTCTATATCTATTTTTCTATCAACTGGTAATGACAGAAGCACATATTTTCAAAATTTTCTGATTTAGATAGTGGCTAAACAGTAATCTCAAAGTATGAAACAACATAAACTACTTTAAATCTTAGGTTTCCTTCTAACTTCATCTAAAAACACACATCTTAATAAACTTAAGAGTTGACCTTACGTTACTGTGCTAGACTATAATTCAAATAAACTTCACAAGATTTTAATGCACTGAAATGCCGTTCAAAGTTTACATTGGGGGGGGGGAAGGTGAACTGACATTTTTAAAACAATGCTAGAAACAAAGTTCAGTTTTAAAGTAAATTCTCCTACAATAACAAATACATACATGTAGAAGCAAGAATAAACGCAGTACCTTTATGTAGAAGAGGAAACTTCTGGCTCGGTCTGGTCTGCAGTGACTGCAGTAGCACCAGCCGTCACTGGCTACGGAACACAGCACAACAGAAAGCAATGAGTTGGCAGGAGCAGCTCCACAGAGAGGCAGGACAGACTGAAGGACAAGCACACGCAGATTGCTTTGAATTAGGCATGTTAAGGGCTGGAACTTTCAGTGTTTGCTCTCCTATAGGACAGGATAGTTTTTCTCCTACTTAACCCCTCGGGGCAAGGTCTTAATAATGGTAACAGCTGGCATACAGAGGAGCCTGATCTGAGCATGAGGTCAGCAAGCCAGGATATGAAGGTGACATGTAATTTCTAGCCTTTTCCTGCTTCTACAGGGAAACTGCATGAAGGGCTGTTTTTAGTTATAACTTCCTTTGATCTTCTGCATTTAAAGTTGCTTAGTAGGTTAAAGCAATGTTAGCTGATATTATTTGCTTTTTTAGCCTAACTTAAGTGTTACAGATTCAGTTTTCTGACACATAGGGCTACTACATTTAAAATAACACAAATAAACACCAGTTTGTGTTTATTTCCAAGTTCGAGGGATTCTTGAATTCTTTCACAAATGACTCTTGAGACCCTGATTTTAGAGGAGAAAGTTCATAGTTTTTAAGAGGCAGAGTTTCTTTTTTAAACAGGAAAGTATTAGTCAATGGAGTTACAAGTATTTTTCTTCAATTTTCCTAAACAGCAGTTTGTTAAATGATTTTGACATGGCTTTATATAAATATGTGGACACGATGATGCCAATATTTAAAATTCCACAACCACAACATAAAAACCTTTTAAATACCTGCAAACAAATGCTTTACGATTTACGAATGGCACCCCTTAGCAAATAAGTGATAATTTATTAAAACCATGAAATTTAACTCTTCATGACTTTGATAATAAAAATATGTAAATAATTCTTTTGGCAGGATTTTACTAATTTATTATACAAAGATACCACCTTCAAAAATTTCAAAAGCACAAGCAAAGGAAAAAATAGGTAAAATTGGGCTTCATCAAAATCAAAAACGTTTACAGATCAAAGGACATTATCATGAAAGTGAAAAAAGTCACAGAATGGGAAAAACTATCAGCAAACCATATATCTAAGGGTCTAGTTTCCAGAATATATTTTAAAAACTCTTACAACTCAACGATAAAAAGACAAATAATCCAATTTAAAAGAGGCAAAGTTTTTGAATAGACATTTCTCCAAAGAAATATACAAAGGGCCAATGAGCACATGAAAAGATGCTCAACATCATTAGTGACTTACAGAAATGCAAATCAAAATCACAATAAGATACCACTTCACATCCACTAGACTGGCTATAATAAAAAAAAAAACGAAAAATAACAACTGTTATTGAGGATAACCAGATGGAGAAACTGGAACCTTTATACTACCAGTGGGAATGTAAAATGCTATAGCCACTGTGAAAAAGTTTGCCAGTTCCACAAAAAATTAAAGACAATTACCATATGACCTAGCAATTCCACTTCTAGGTACAACCAATCCTCATTATTTGTGGATCCTGTACTTGTGAATTCACCTACTTGCTATATTTATTTGGAACCCCAAAATAATCCTGGTGGTGCTTTCACAGTCACTCAGACATGCGCGTGCACAGAGTGGTGAGAAGCCTGAGTTGCCAGGAGCACGTGTTCCCAGGTGAGGTCAAACAAGGCGACACTCTTGTGTCCACAGCAACTTTATGGACATAACTACCACAGATAGCGAGAAATGATTGCATATACCCAAGAGAAGTGAAAACATGTGTTCCCGGAAGCATTATTCATAACAGTTGCTATGAAACAACCTAAATGTCCATCAACTGATGAATGGATAACAAAATGTGGTATATCCATACAATGGAACATTATTTAGCCATAAAAATAACAAAGCAGTAATTCATGCTACAGCATAAATGAACCTTCAGGGCTGGCCGGTTAGCTCAGTTGGTTAGAACACAGCCTTATAATACCAAGGTCAATGATATGGATCCCTGTACTAGCCAGCTGCCAAAAACAAAAAACCCTAACATAAATGAACCTTCAAAACATTATGCTAAGCGAAAGTTAGAAACAAAAGGCTACATATTGTAGGATTCTATTTATATTAAATACTCAGAATAGGCAAACCTAGAGAGACAAAAAGTAGACTAGTGGTAGCCAGGGGCTGAGTTGTTGGGGATAGGAAATGGGGAGTGATGGCTAATAGATAGTTTCTTTTTGGGTGACGAAAATGTTCTAGAATTAGACAGTGGTGACTGTTACATAACCTTGTGAATATACTAAAAACCACTGAATGGTACACTTAAAAATGGTGAATTTTTTGATATGTGAGTTCTATCTCAATAAGAAAAAATAGAAAAGAAAGGTATGGAGTTCTAGCCATTAGACAAGTGGTTCTCAGTTGTGTGGATCAGAATTCCCTGGAGGACTTGTGAAAACCCAAATTATTGGGTCCCATCCTGCAAAATTCTGATTTTGAAGGTCTAGGGTGGGTTTAAGAATTTGCTTTTCTAGTAAGTCCTCAGATGATGCCGATATTGCTGGTCTGAGACCCATATATTGAGAACCACTGTATTAAAGACAATGTCTGAGCTCCTTCAAAGTAGGAAAGGTAGCTTTCATCTTGGCATCTCCTAAATTTACCTAAAACAGAGGCAACTGGGAAGAAAAAAGAGAGGGAGTGAAAAGGAGAAATTATTTTTTATTTACTTGAGTAAATACACTGAAGGAGTCAGTCTCTGACATCTGAGGGCATGCTGATTTCATGTGATATGTATGCAAAATTAATCTCTAAAAATCCTCAAGACAAGAAGAATTAATAAACTAATATAAAGGTTTTTTAACATTCTTTGATCATTTAAACAGTATGTTGGTTTAGTTTAGTTTTATTAAAGTAGCTAATCACATTTCACTGTGCTGATCCTTGTAAGAAATGGAAATAAAGGTTCTAGAGTTGTTGATCCTATAAATTACTTCAAGAAGCCCCTTAAATTAGTTGTCACAGAAACCAAAGACCTGAACTCTCCAATTCATAAATTAGTTAATTCTTTTTTTTTTTTTTTCCTTTTTGTCTTTTTTCGTGTCCGGCAACGGATTGCAACCCTCAGTGTCGCGCCCGTACCGGACCGGGACCGGCAACGGGATCGCAACCCTCAGTGTTGCACCCGCACCTCGCTCAGCCAGTGAGCGGCCGGTCTGTATATGGGATTCGAACCCTCGGCGGGAGCGCCGCCGCGCTCCCAAGCGACACACTGTAGCAGTGCGCCACCGGGCCGGCCCCAATAAATTAGTTAATTCTTATTTACACTTTTAGCGATACTGATTTGTACACCTAACCACTTTATTTACAAATTGGGGGTACATGTAAAAATAGACAATTTAAGTACACTTCCAATACTGTCATGGGGAATACATTATTATTTTACAAATAACAATCAGGATTATCCCTCATTGCTGTGGCGTGTTTCCAAGGCAGCACTGAGAGTTAAAAGGACAGTGCTAGCGACCTCACATAGCTCTAACATTCTCTGAAAACTACATCCTTTTTTTCTTAGGTAATATTATGTAGGTATCTTTCTTCACTATTGGAAAGACAAAAGGTAATGGGAAAGGAGAAAGAAAAGGGCTGGTAGGAGAGGCACAACACTTGCTACTTTTTAAAAGGTGAAAAACCAGCTGCTTTTAGAGGTTACAGCTCTTGTCTACAAAATCCAAACATTATACAAGATGATCTCACAGGTCCATTCAGGCTATGAATTTGGTTCTTATGAATTTGGATATGACTGAAAATAGAAAAAAAAAAAAAATCCTAGTTTTACTATTCAAATTTGGATTGTTTAAGAAAAGACCATACATTCAAAGTTGAGTTAGTGAGTTAGAAGCAAAGACCATATCGCAAGCAAACTGGAACAAAAACAAAATAATCATGGGATGGTAAAATTCCTTTCATGAATTTGGAAATATGCACATCAGACTTATATATTCCTCTCACCAGACAATTGACATTTAATCTTATGGCTTCTTTCTTATCCCATCTCCTGTTGAAAATTCTACCTCCAAAATCCACACTTCTTACAGCTGAAAACTTTTTGACCTTGCTTATCTTTCAGTCTGACATCTACAGAATCTGCTCTCCACCTCAACTCTGAAGTCTTTATCCATTTACTATTTTTATTTGCTTTTTGCTTACTTCATATAGATCTCATGGCCAGCATTTCAGCCTTTCAAAGATCTTCCCTAAGCTTACTCCTCCTGTCCTTCCTCTTTTTTTTCCCACTCCCAGGTTTGGGAATGCTACTGAAAAAAATCACCAGAGAAGGAAGCGGAGACCTAAAACAAATACACACGCTCACCTCTGGAGGGCTCTCAATGCTGCTGTGATTCATCTCATCTATCTAGCCTCTACTGGATATCCGCATAGGAATTGTCCAGTCTTTCTCATGCTCCCTACCTTAACCCTCTCGGCAGATAATGCCACATATGTTGTGGAAAAGAATGACACTATTTGACCATGAGTTCTTTCAAATACTACCATTTCTACCTCAAACTTTTTCTGGAATTCATGCCTTATCACTCGCAATGTCTAACCTTCTTTCCTACATAGTCATTACTTATACACTAGATCTTTGCTACCCAGTAAGGTAGCCAGAGCCACATGTGGCTATTCAATTTTGAATTGAACATTAAAATTAAAATTTTAGTGCTCCATTTGCATGAGGCACCACATTTCAAGTGCTCAACAACCACACGTGGCTTGTGGCTACTAATCTGGATAGTGCAGAGAGAGCATATTTCCTCACCACATGTAGTCTTACTGGACAGCGCTACTCTAGATCTTTACTACCAGGTTTCTTTACTCTGTCTCATTCTCCCTCCCCAAGTCCATCTTCATCTTTCCTGCTCTGTTAACCTCTTCTTCATTTACTTACAAAAAATGTTAATTTTCCCCGGACTAAAAAAATGCCTCCCCTTGGTCTGCTAGTCCAAACATTAGTCTACCTTTCCCTCTCCTTCATTGCCAGACCATACGCAGGCCTCCCCCATCTCACTCCTGCACCTCCTACAATCTCACCATGTAATAAAACTGTT